TTTTTAATGTAGTTTTTAAACTTAGGAAATGATAAACTTAATATATGCTCCGGAATCTTATTGTAGAAACGTATACAGTTCCCCATAAAAGAGTTGTTTACCTCGCTCGGTTAAACGAAATCGTGAGTTTGGACTTAGCTCTAAGGTTAATATTATGGATATCTTCTTTCTTATTGAAATTATGTATATTTTTACGGGCATATAAAATATTTGAGTAAATGTACTGTGATGCCACAGTCATGATACCAGTCTCCTTAAACTTTTCTCTGAGAGATACCCGAGAGCCTAGACGGTACACAGAACGAATCGCTCGTTTTTGCAATACAAATGGTTTGAATATCTGCCGCTTTACCCCACATGAGAATCCCGTAGGACATTATACTATGGAAGTAACTAAAGTAAACTAGTCTAGCAGTACTAACATCGGTAAGCTCATGTATTCTGCGGACTGCGTATGCAGCGGAGCTTAATCTGCTTAAATAATAATATTGAAAAAGAAACATGTTACGAATGTCAATGGCGCGCCGTGAAAACTATCTTCATTGTGTTACGTCTTAGAGATCCCCCACACCAGCGTCTTTCGAGCACCAGCATTAGGGATACTACGTTGCGTCGCCACCGTGTGGACATTGTGTCGCCGCTGTGTGTGCGTTGGCAAGACTCTGACGCTCGAAAGACGCTAGTGTTGGGGGATCGCTTACTTAATACAATTATATAGTATATTTGAAATATATGAGTGTGTGTGAGGCACAGATACTACATAGCTGTGTTATCGCATTTATGATACAGTCACGTTCATTATTATGTACAGACTTAGCGATATTACAATCGAATTATATCCCTAAACGCTAATTGAGTAGAATAATGTTGGCAGGAGCCATTTACTTTATGATTGAAAACTTATTTAGATGTTTTGGTACATTGTTATATGTACACATGATTGTACATAGAATATATGTTTTGTTTTGAAACAAACAGAATATTGTGTCAATTTCCTTTTTTGTCGACTCTCTCTCATTCAAAAAGAGGCTAATAATTTTTATAATTAATAAACAAAATAAGGTTATATGTCTGTAGCCGAAATGTAACTCTAAATAAAAAAATAATCATAATAAAATTGTTTATTCAGTAACATAATGTACAGAGAAAACTAAAGACTACTTATGCGATTTAATGTAAAAATAAACATGTACCTGAACTAGGAAATTCCTGTATTTCAGGTAAAAAGTACTACTAATTATAAACGTGGATACTATATTAATAGTATCCACGTAATATTTATAATATTAATTACAAATACTTTTTAGGGGAATCTTATGAAATAAAATTAAACAATTAAACAATAAATTGCCAATCCAAAAAAAAATTTACTCTTAAACAAGACAACATTTATTTTACGATAATAAATAAATTCTCTGTATCCTCATAAATGACATAACTTATGTGTGATTGGTAACGTAGCTGATAAAATTTCAATGTTATTCCATAATTCTGAATATTTTTAACCGACTTCAACAAAGGAGGAGGTTCTCAATTAGACTGTATGTTCTTTTTTTATGTATGTGTGTTACGCGATAACTCCGGTATTTGTGAATCGATTCTTTTTTGTTGGAAAGGGGGTACTTCCATAGTGGTCCCATTTCATTTTGAAGAAAATCATCTACCTCGAATTGCGGCTGCTCACGCATGAAGATTCATTTTTATTAATAGCGCCTAACTTAAATTTAGGAGTAATTACTTTTATGGATGATTTTGCTATTTCTCCAATTCAAGGCGTTTTTCTCTCAATATACTTTGAGTAGTGAGAACCGATTATTATTATCTCCAGTATCAAGTCCTGTATAGCGGCGGACTAGAACTGCGGGATATTTCAATAAAACTTAGCAAATAGACGTAATTCCACGTACTTTTGAGGTCGGTTTTTTTAGTACTCTGTACTGAGATTATCCTGAAGCCGGTTCGCATTAAAAATTGTTTATTGACAGATTCAAACGTTTCCTTTTTACGATACGGTCGTTAAAATTCTGGTAACGCAGTAGGAACAAGCTAAGAATTAATTTTTTCATGAGTACATTAAAAAACAATGCACAAAATTCGCTGCAGATCTTAAGATTATAAACTTTGTAGGATATGACTGCAATAGTATTATCTATTTGTTATGTTTTTATACATTCTCCACAGAGTCGGTAAAAAAAGTTCATTGACCCGTATAGGGTTTTTATAAAACGTTTCAGCTCAATGGTTATTGGAGATAGTTAAAAAGCAATCTCATTTATCAAAGAACTAACGCTAAGAAACTTTTCCTTTACCTCAGGGACGGTATGCTGAAGGCGCAGGATCGAATCCTGCCAGATCGAAAAAAAAATTCTTAGTGTTCGATCTTTGTATTAATTATTATGAAAAATAAACTTAATATTACAATCTCATTTAATTTCGACCATAGGTCAATTTATTACCTAACCTTCTTCTTTTTCAACACTTGGGCAAAATCGTCTCATAACAAAGAACAGCGCCGAAGTTGCTCGTTACTCAAGCCGAAATAAAACGTCAATATAATTACACTACCTTTCTTGTTATACTATGATTACACCCTGATCATTAAAATCAAACTGGATGGGCGCTAATGAGTGGAATTTGATAATTATAATATCTGATCCGAAGATGACATAGCTCCGAGTACGCAGCTTAGATAGACAGTAGAAAGTGACAATTAATTTATTATGTCCACCAGCTTTATAGGCATCAGCTACAATTTGATTTCATTTGCAACTTGAACTAGGTTTTTTGTTTATCGCAAATGGATGAATAATGACATAATTGAATGAATGAATAAAGGTTTTTTTTATTTACGAGATTTGTAACTATACTTGAATTCATATAGGTTTCATGAGAAAAATTACGATATAAAAATTAAATTAATTAATGTGCTCATTTCTACAAACCTATAATCAATTTCAAATAATTAAAAACGTATGAACTCAAAATTCAAACTTGAATAATCTTTATTTCATAGGTAAGGAAATCCACTTGAATTCGTCACACTGATTGAACTCTATTATTATTATTATTCGTAAGGGAAACTTTCCCTGAAAAGAAACTTATTCATCATTAGTAACATATTAAAAATTCGTAGAAATACGTTAAGCTGGAGCTTAGCTTTTTGTCGCATTACAATTATAATAACAATAACGTACACACTCAACATAGCCCCGCACTAGGAAAACCCTGTGTCGCGGGTGCCATGGACATACACGTAGACAACTACAAATTACACCCAAACTCACGAGAGAAATAAATGTAGGCCATACAAATATTTCTCCCGACCCGGGAATCGAACCTGGGATCTCTGCATGGCAGTCCGGCATGGTAACCGTTCGGCCACAGAGGCAGTTACATTTGTGTCCCGGCATTTGGGGGGCTAGCGAGTTTTTAGTCCGAGTGGAAGCAAAGTGCGCAACATCTTTTCGCTCTTGTTGGATGGACATTTTTTTGTATCTAGCTCAAGTCTTCACAAGATTTAGTTTAGTTCTTCAGTCAAGATTTAGTGCAAATAAGTTAGCATGAATTTTAGTAACAGTAGAGCTTGCCACCATGCCAGAATGCAATGCCAGAATGCCACCTTACCTATTTCTGTCGCCAAGCAGTAACGTGAGCCTCACGCAGTGAGGGTGCTGGTGAAATTACAGGTACAAAGGACTTGTTAACTTATGTCTCAGGGTGACGGGCGCAGTGGCAGTGCCCATAAGGTCTTTGCGGTTTAAAGTTCTGAATGGCACTGCAACTGTTATGGATGGCCATGTGGCTTACCACCAGGCGCACGACTTGTTCGCCCCGACACTTGATATTATATAAAAAGTGTGGTGGCTCTCTTTGTCCTTCTACGAGTGTTGGTATGCCGCGCAGCAACTGTCGCTCGGCATCGACAAGTGCCGCGTGGCTTTGTCACAGGAGTACAATGCCAACATATGTCATCTAGCCTAATTACCTACGTAACGAATGAACCATGGCAAAGCAATGAAAGGGTTAAAATCAAACAATAGTTAATTAAAAAGTATATATTCATTTTTACAAATAAACTGGAACTTCATGTGTAAATTGTTAAGTTAGAGCGATGCCACATGGGCATTGCGGGTGCAATACGTCATTGCAACGCAATGATGACGAACGTAACGATGCTTACTTAAGCCGGGTACTCACTAGCGAGCTGTAACCGTAACCAATGCATGTTATAGTATCAAAAATCATAGTGTGTACGTGGTTCGTGAACATGCCACGAGCGGCATTCCAGCGAGTGGAGACTGTTTCACGCATACACACTATAACTTCGTTACTGTTGTATCTGTTACGTTACAGTTACAGCTCACTAATGAGTACCCGGCTTTACGTGCCACAGCTCACCTCTCCGCTTCGTCTCCCGGCCCCGTGTCTGAAGAGCAAGGTGACGTCGTCGTGCGCAGCTTCAGCGCACTATTTTGGTTGGTAATTCTGATTTCTAAGTATTATAACCGCTCACGCGATTCATGCGTCTCTGGAAGCATACCACACCTAGAGGTGCCGGTGATGATTTTATACCGATTTATCGGATATCGAAGTTATAACAGGTAAAAGAACTAATACTAATTGCTATTTCGGTAACTACTCTAGCAAACCATAAAGTTTTTAATGCCTGGGTCTGTCATTTAAAAAAAATAAACAACTTCAAAAATACGTCACGACAATCGTGTGTGTTATTGTTTGGGCTGGTGATGTCGGTGTTTATTTATTGAAAACATACCGTAAGTTGCGTTTTTTTAAGTTTACCCTGAATATAAATGTTTATAAACTATACTTTAAGGAGTAATTTCATGGTAAACGTTAGAACCACTCAAACGGAATATTATCATATTTACCCAAGTAGACCAAAAATGTCATTAGTGCTTTTTAAGTGCAGGATTTGCGGTGTATTACTGCATTTTATTTGAGATGTTTTTGTTGTAGTACGAAGGGTATTTATTAAGCAATGCAGAATAATAGTTTTTATTTTTTAAAACTTGTATTTAAACTGAATCCTTTTCTAATTTGCGAAACCAAATAGCCGCCATTTTGCGGTAGGATGAGCGCATCGCGTGAGCGGATAATATAACGCAGAGTCACCGCTCATGTATTGCATCGGGGCGTTGGCCCCGATGCAATGCATCATGTGGCGTCGATCTTAAATAACAAACTTAACAATACTCATATTTACTCAAATGATTTCATTTTCATTAACGGGAAAATAAGAATCGACCATGTTTTTTGTGCAGCTGTGAATTTTATTAAACTTTTGTCCATCCTCAAACATTCGACTGGAATACGACAACGCTTTGCCGTCGTGGTGTTATCGAATGTCGTATGTAACGAAAATATGAGGATGTGTATAAGAATAGTATTTTTAGTAGAATATTCTTTTTATGCGGTCATGATACAGCATTTCTCGTCATCCAGGCAGTCTTTAGCTTGAGTGAAGATCAGTTTGTCGCTGCAGAAGGACGTCAGCGGCATGCACACACCCAACTTGAAACATCTCGTTTCTTTGACCGACACTAAAATTGACAAGAATTGAAATGAAAAAAGTTGGATAATATTCCTATAATCGCAAAACAATACAGACTATGTTAATGACAATGAAGAAATAAAAACGTGCTTGTACTATTTTACACCTTTTAAAGAAATCGGTCGCATCGCTGTTACTTAAAGCGCATACGAAGTCGAAAGACGTTTTTGCGAGTAATTTTTTTACCTCTTACTCAAGTTGTTCAGTGTTAAGAACAATTTCGAAGTATAAACACACCTTCCTTAACACATGCTACAAAAAATGTTGCTTCCTTCATGAGATCGATGCAATTTTTTAGCTTGGAACTAAAAAGCCTGGTCGGTTTTTTTTATTTTAAGTCTAATTTGTAAAATTACGAAACGAAGATTACTCGATTATCTTTTTTTTCATTTATTTGTTTTACTTACATATGTCTCACATATTATTATTATGTCTTCCTTCACCATTAACGAGAGGTGTTGGTACTAAATATTTATAAACGTAATTTGGACTAATTACACACGGCACCGTAACAACAGATTTTCATACACGCGTGGCGGCGGACGCGGTGACGGCGAGTGTTGCCACAATTGTGTAGTAATATACGACTTACACCGCTGGTGCTGTGGTTTGACGACTTAACTCTTGCAAAAACACCGTTACCGCGGCGCCATGTGTAATCAGCCTTAGAAATCAAAGTCCAAGTCATACATGCCGCTACAAATTGGTAACCCTAGTATAATAATGCACATGTAATATACGTAAAAAGTGCTTTATGAGAAATTTTGTAATTCTCCTATAAGCATTGACCTACCAATATTTAAACCTAAAGAAGTTATCGACTAATTTAACTCTTTCCTGAAAAGTTATTATTTTGCAAATGTGATCTTATTACACCAAGGGGTGCGAACTGAGAATCTACTCTTGTGCCATTAGCGAGCATTAAATAGACACTCTATCGCGCGTGATGCAGCAATCATGCACGATAGAGTGCTGTAGTAAAGACTTTGAAAGTAAAAGGAAAAGCCCGCGCGATTGCGATCATCAGTTGCGCGCGCAATCGCGCATTCCAACACGCGCCAGTTTCACGCGGTCTATCCGGTGCAATTAGCCTTTACATGGACGCTCTTTCCGTTGTAACAAAAACGAACACGAGCAATCGCGCGCTAAAGAAAGTTAGTTTAAAAAAAATTCAAACAGGTAATCGCGCACGATTCCGCGTGCAGGCTTTCCCGGGCGCAATCCTCTACACTCCTGTTCACGCGCGACAGAGTGACTGTGTAAAGGGGGCTATTGCATTACCACCGCTCGACACGCTCGTTTTATAATCTATGATAATCGACTAGTTCGATTAAATTCTAGCAAAAAGATTATAATCAATACTATAATAAGTTTTACTAACTGCCATAACAGCATTCAACTCCCCTAGGCTGCTGGTTAGGGCACAGTCCTGCTGTCTCTGCCAGGAGCCCAGCTGGACAGTCTGAAGCCAAAACGCATTGGCCACCAGCGTGTGCACACGGCTCCTCCATCATTATACTGTCTATTAGTTTAACTGAAACATAGAAACAGAGTTATAAAGCCGGATTTACATTTGTCTGACATGTCGCGTCATGTCGCGTCAAAACGTCATCGGTTTCATACACACAACATAATTAGTCACGTCAGATTGCAACACACTAAAATAAGTCTAACCATATTAAATGTCACGATACGACACGTAATAAATATATAATAAATGTAAATCCGGCTATACAATAATTAATATACTAATTTGTATCTGGTTACTTCTTTATCATAGCTTAAAAAGCCTATGGTATTGATGACAGTATTTTTTCATGAATGTATTTTTAAACTCAAGCATCTATTAAAGTTAAGGCAAACTGCTAGAGCATTCACTTAAAAAATATTTTCTTACTGGCAAAGTCAGTTTTAACCAAATATTTGCGTTGATGTTTATTTAACTTAGAAACTAAGGTTGAGATTTTATAAAACGCGCTCCCTCGCGTGTTATTACGAAGTAAACTCAAAGTGTAATTTAATTTCTTGTTTAAAGTTAGGCAAAGTTCGTTTCGTAATACGAGAAACTTGCTTAGCTCGCCATTTTTGCTAAATCGAAGTGAAATCGTTTTATAAATCTCAACCTTAGAGCTCGATCACTATAAGCACGACACTCCTTCGGTTCGCGGATGCACGGGAGGGGAATAGCCTCGTGCGGAACAAAGCGCTGCAAAAATATACCTACTTTATCTTCTTGTGTTTGAAACAAGTCATGCCCAACGAGAAAATGTAATTAAATTCAACGCTAAGAACATTGAAAATTCAAGAAAATGAAAATCGATCAATTGTGATCCTGAAAATGTAATAATAATAATAATGTGTCAGACAATCACACCAATAACACAGTTTTACAAACCATACAGTTTCGTAACGAATGTACGCAACGAACTGCGGGGTACACAAGGGGAATTCGGCGTCGCGGGCCATATCCTGCAAACACGCGTAGTTTGCCGGATCGAGCGCTAAGGGTTGGCGTGTGCGTGTTTTAAAATGCTTTTCAATACTATCATCGAGTTCAGAAATCGTTGTATACGTGTATATCTATGTAACGTTGTATAAATGGCGTACATGTAACTATTGCGTTGAATACTGAAATGAGTAAGAAGTCCATTTTATGCAGAATTTCGTATGTTTATTGGAAACAATATTTTACATAAATTATTTGGCTTTCTAATTACAATTGAACTTAAGCACGGCCTTACTCATGTTTACCCCATTCTTTTATAATGCTAATACACTACGTAGTTAAATTTAACAATAGAAACTAAGAACATCTGAAAATCAAATGCCATATAAATATTTGGCTGTGCAACACTTGAAAATCTTCAATAGTCATTGTGTATTGATAAGTAATAATCATTGTTATTACATGATTACGTTAATTTTTTTTCTTTTTGTGACAACCATTGCAACAAGCAGTACAAGTACCTAACTACAAGGACGGCGGTATCGCCGAATATCAAACGCGTTGCGCTACTACTGCAGGGAAGAGTGCTACTACAGTGCCAATAACCAGGTCTCAAACTGGAGCCAGTTTAGGAACCAATTTAGTTTTTAGTTATAATTTCTCACATTGGTCATAATGAAAATCGAACCCGAGATAACCTGACATCTGATGCCCACAGCGCAAACAATAGAGCCACCGAAATCATCTACAAATATAAATGTAAATAGATATGCTTTAAGGGAGTTATTTATGGACAAGAATGCGAATGCGAACATAATACATTATAACAATTTTATAGATACTCAACTCGAATATCAGTTTCACTGAGTTTCTTTATTTCTCAGTCATAGTATCGTAAATTGGCTGCTAGGCAAAAGTGTATTCACTACTTACGTTCACGTAAGTCTTCTTTATTATTTATTTTGTACTCGTGAGTTGTAGTAGTTTTGGTACTAGTAGTGGTAGCACCAGTAGTTGTAGTAGTAAACGCCGCTATTGTGCAGAATTAAAAACGTAGTATAGTTTATTTTTTCAAAACGTACCTACAGTTTCTCATAACGTAATTTCCTTCTTACTTCTTTCTCCGTTGAATTATATCTAAAGTATCGATCTCATTTAATAAAGTTTCACCAATCGAGAAAATGTCATAGACTTTTAAATAATCGCATTATGAGAAACTATTGATCATGGGAATACATTTTATGAGAAACAATAGGATGTCGTAATATTATGTGTGAATAAGTTACACAACGAGAAAGTATCAACAATTAGATGATCGCAAATCACAATTGTAATAATGTTTTACTTCTTCTACCTTTAAATATGTTATTATCATGCTTCAGTCAAATAAAAAAGTTTATTTCGCATTTGAAGTTCAACAAAATCAATTGGGACTGTGTTGAGAGAATATATAAGAACAGAGTTGCCTCAGTAAATTTTGAGGAACCATAAATTAATGTAAAACAGAAAATATATTGTATTTGTGGATCAAACACAAGTGCGACTTTCTGTCTCTTCCTCTGCCTTGGAAATATTTTTTGGTATGTTTTTGTTTTCATCTGTTAGAATCAAGTTGATAAAGTTGATAGGAAAATGTATGTAACTAACGTGTTCATTACTTACGTTCACGATAGTATTCTTTTTCTGTTTTTGTGTACTCATGACTTACGCTGACAGTTCGAGTACCAGACGCCGCTATTGTAAAGTGAAAAAGTAGAATAGTTATTGTTGGTTCTCTACTCTTTGTCATAACGTACCTATAGTTTCTCACAATATATCACGTCTTTTTAATTCTGTTTTTGTCGTGAAAATATCATAGATTTTTAAACAATCGCATTATGAGAAAGTACATGCCATGACACAATTCTATGAGAAAAATGAGGAAAATAGAGTGAGTAACTTAGGGATGTTCACAAATTAAATAACGTTAGTAAGAAGAAAAATATTTATTCATATTCAATATATATCTTGCTACTAGAGTATTCTTGAAAAACTGAAGTCAATCAAAAAAATCATTCGGTGTAATGTAAGGTCCAAAAAATGTACGAAAACTGTATTAAGGGCAAGATTAATACATCCAACTGCCAGTTATTCAGCTGTGTCATAAATTTTGAGCAAGACGATATGAACAATTATGAATTGAACTATGCCTTAAAACAGAGCATCATGAACTATATTTCTATTATGTAACGTACAACTAGATATGAGCCAAAAAATAGGAAGTCTACCACGAAATACGACACCACGTGAGTGCGTCCGCAACGAAGATCATACGTACTACCTTAGAATAATAACGCATAGAAAGCTAGTCCGCACACGCCAAGTGAGGCAAATTGAAGCGCTCCCAAAGGTCCTACACGAGCGGGCGGGGCTTCAGTGCTCAAGGTCAACTTGCACCGCGAACAGATCAAGAATTTTAGCTAAAAATGACGAAATGTGCGGTAAATGAGTGTAAAAATACGTCAGACAAACATAAAATAGATACTAACATCACATTCCACAAGGAAGTAACGCGTTTCAACTTGTATTTTTATATAAATATTCACTTAAACCGAAAATTAACCTACTACTAAAACCAGCCTACATGAATTTGATTTTTGCCTCACTTGTGACAGTTCCTTTGATATAAAACTATCATTCTATGCGTTATTATTCTAAGCGTACTACATAATGGCAATTTTAAATGGAATAGAATAGAACAGAACGGAACAGAATAGAATACGTTTAGTCAATTACATAGGTCTTAAGTAAAATTAGGTACATGGTATTCAACCTGCAAGCAGATATGCAAATATTAATGGGATTTTATGTTTAGCCTCTATAGCTTCCAATTAATGCAATGAATTTGTAAATTCTAAGTATTCTTTATTACTATAGAAGCAATGTGTCAAAAGCCATTTTGTCGAAAGTATGTATTTTCGTCTGGTAATTTATTTATTTACATGTTGAAACAGTTATTGTTATAAATCAATTTATGGCAACGAGGTTGGTATAAAAGATTCATAATTTTTGCACTAGTTTGCCTTTGAATGACTTCACTGCGTGTTTTAAAAAATTGAGGTTGAGAGTTGACAAATACGTATAAAAAATAAAAGTAATGTCAAAATTTTATACGAAAGCTGTCATTTGACGTTTCGAAGGTAGCTTATGTCAAATCACGATCTTCTTACGCGTTTCGTGGTAGTCTCCGGTCCAGTACGAAGCTAAAACGATGATCGTTGCTTCTTATTTGGTATTTCGTGGTAGACCTCCTGGTCCCGCGTCTTTCGGAGAATTATTGCGCAGTCTTGAGAATGCCCGCAGTTACA